CGATTCTATTAGGAGGCCATTTATGAAGTTAACTTTATTTCTTGGTACTGTGCAGCTTGTTTTCACCAATCATAGCGGCAGGCTCTGTTCCGCCTGAGTACGCTGTCTTCTTGCGTTTTTTTTCTTTTTGTTTGTCTGCCTGGTGAGGGGGTCTGCCTAAAAGTCTTGCCCTCTGTGTACTCTACTTATGTCCGGTGGTTTCCACTGCTAGGTCCCCGTCAGTGTACACGACCCGGGGGTTCAGTTCTTAGAAAGTTGTTTGGTATTTGTGGGAGCCGGTTAGCAGTACCCTACCTGAGATTACCTGGGTGTGAGTCCTTGTAGGTAAATGCTCAGGACCCCTGGGAAATCCCGAGGGGGCACATGAGTCCGGTGGATGTGACCCCGGAGTCCCCCCTCGCTTTGTGTGAGTTTGAGGGGTTGCTCTGTCCACTTGTCTTAGGGTGAATCTCACTGTTTTGCCTCCGTCTGCTGTCTATGGGGTCGGTGGCACCTTCGGCCCGGAGCCCTACGAGTTTTATTGCTTGTTGCAGCTCGATTACCCAGTCTTATGCTAACTATGCGGGTGCAGGCAGCACGGGAGTTGCAAGTTGAGTTTCGGTGGTGCAATGGGCTAGGTCGTTTGCTTCCCGGGAGCCCCTGGGCTGCCCTGTTTTGGTTGGTGTGATGGGGCTTGGGGGGTGTTGGATGCTTTGGTTTTGTTCCTTCCGCACCTCTATGTCTTTTCCCTGTTGTGGTTCCCCCTTCCTCCCTGCATCTGGATCCTTACCATTTGTGGGTTTGGGGTCGAGGCGGGGCTTCGCTGGTCTTGAGACTTGGGCGGTCTTAGGGATTTCCCCCTTCCGGAGTAGCGACGGAGGCATTCGAGCCTGTTACTCCAGCCATGTTGTATGTTATGGGTATATGTGTATATGTCATGGGGTAAGTGTTCCTGTCTGGATGTTTTGAGGTGACGTTTTGCTGCAGTTTTCATTCTGTGGATATGTGTTGGGGATTGGTTGTGAATTTTTGTTTGGCCCTTCCGTGCTTCTTCCTGGGGCCTTACTTGTTCATCTGGGTTAACCCTTCAATTGCGCATCGCATCATATGATGCTTTGACCGACTTGCAGTAAATTGCGCATCGCATCATGTGATGCTTTGGAGTACTATGCAAGATTTAAACAGCCCGCGGATACACGGGGTTCACCACACCTTCATCAGGGCTCTTGTAAACAGACGCCATTTAAAAAAAAAATCGTGGGCCAAACTCCCGGGTGTTAGGGGCCTCAGTATTGAGTCGGCTACCAAGCCTGACGCACGCAGCATGAGCTCACAGCACTGCTGTTCAGCTCGTGACCACAGCATCACCTAAAAATGCCATAATATACTTGTTCATTCTATTATGTAGCAATGATATTATTACAGAAGACCCCTGACTGTGATAAAACTGACCAGGGTTCTGATAATAGCAGGATTGTGGTGATATTTGGCGCTGTGTGCCATGGAGGGAGGAGTAATGCTGTGGGAGGGAGGATGGTGGCGTTGTCTTTTGAGTGTGTGTGGCCACCTTTTATTGACTGTACTCACCATACCAGCTTAGTGGTTCGCTATGGTGAACACAAATGTAGATATTTATATATAACGTGTGTATAGTGGGAGATAACAGCAAGAGTAGGAGGTTGGGAGCCGCCATTTTGGTGAGGGTGGAGCGTCGTCTGCAGGACTTATCAAGTTGTTTACTGATGACCACGATGGTCTTTGGGCACCATACCAGTTTACTTGTACAAGTATGGTGAATAAAACAGGTAGATATTTATATATAATGTGTGTATACAGCATAATAACACCACAAACAGTATTGTTGTAGGAAAAATATTAGTGCATCTGGCCTTGAGGGCGGCCGCCACCAGCTGACTGTGTGAGTAGGTACGTCTCTGTGCCTTTACTCACCATACAAGCTTAGATGTACAGTTATGGTGAACAAAACATGTAAATACTTATATATAACGTCTGTATATAAAAGCAAAAACAGTATGGTGGGTGGAGAATGGTGGCAAGTCAGGTGAGGTGAGGTGAGGGAGGGAGTGGCAGCCAGTGGCAGCCAGTCACTGCCTGCCACTTCCACTGCCACTCAGCATACCAACTTAGTGGTTTGTCATGGTGAACAAAACATGCAGATACTTATATATAACCTGTGTATATAGTGTAATAACCGACAAAGTATTTGTTCACTGTTTGATGAACATAATTGAATCAACAATATGCATACCATATTTTTGAGTACAGCGATGATTCACTCATTTTATTATATAAATATATCACACTACACACTATTGAATAATATTACAGCAAAAAAACTACGAAAAATCAATCAGAGACATTGAAATAATTAGGTAATTATCTCTGTGTGGAAACTCTGGCCTGCCAGCTGGCGATCAACAGACCGCCTGGGACGCACGCTCAGTCAGCGCCTGATTTTTGCCACACTTCCCCGCCCTATAGTGGGCAATATATGTCACTTACGATTTTTTTATTATTTTTCCCGTGATCAGTGAACACAAATTAACAGGTTAGGAAGAAAAAATTATAATTTTTTTTTTTTTTGTATGCGCCTGTGGGTGTCAAATGGTATATAGCTATGCGCCATTTAAGGGTTAATGGTTGCAAGGTGGGTCACAGCCCCGTTTTTGTAGTCTTATCTGGGTCACTCTTTCCTTGCACGTCTTGCAGTGCCTGGCTTAGCCCTTCCATATACATTGGATTCTCTGTACAGCACTTACCTAGTTGTCCTTACCTAGTTATGTTTGCGGGAGTTGAGCTCTGGCTTTTTGGTCCCGCTTCTCACTTGTCACTCGCTCACGTGCAGGTTCCTGGGCCTGCTGGGTTCTATCATATCTGTGCTTCATGCTGTGTGTGGTGTCATCCTCCACCACATCGCTTCCTGCTGCATTCCACTTGTCTACTACTCTGACACTGCAATACTTCTTTCACATGTCTTTTTGGCTCGTTTGGGCTCTCATTCCACCGGTGTCCCCTGGTGCGTGTACCCCTGGGGTCCTGTAGTTGGTCTTTCTCTACCTTATCCCTTCCTTTGGGAATCTTAAATGTGGTGATCATCTCCTCATAGTTCGTACTCCTTTGTTCGGGTACTGGTCTGGTGGCGTACCTTTGCCCTTTTTTTCCTTTTCGTTTTGTGTTGGGACGTGTCACACAACTGTGTTGACGTGGCTTGTTGGGACTTGACCAGCGGCTCTATGTTGTTGGTCGTGTCCCTATCATTCCCGTTTTGCTACTTGCCTTCTTCGTTCATCTTCCTTCTACACTCTTGTCCCTGGCCGTTGGTGCTGGGGCATTTCTTCTGGTCTTTTCTTGTGTTTTTCCATTTTCTTATTTTATCCTACACATGGGTGTGTGTTTTATTTGTGCCTTTTGGCTCTCCTATTGCCAGGTTGGGTTCCTGGTTTCCTGGCTTACCCGGCCTGTTGGCATTTTCACAGTCTCACAGTTTCCCTTCACTAGAATCGCTCGTCAGGACTGTCGTCTCCGATCTCCTGGAAGGATTGCGGGCATTGGGATGTTTTTTCTGTACGGCGGACATTCCATCTCCTCCTTTGCCAGCTTGGGTTTCAGGCTCTACTGGCTCCATGGTCGCACCCGAGATCTTCCCACGGCTTCGCATCTTCCTAGGCTCAGTTAGCACATGGCGGGGCTGGTTCGTTTGTGCCTCAAGTCTCTCACCTTCTGTTGGTGGTCGGGTGGCTTCGTTTATGGTGTCCCACCTGCTTTCTTCTTCTTGGCGGCAGTGGGGGGGTTTTGGCGGTCCTTCCTTTTCCTTCTGTCCCTTCTTCAGTAGCTGCATTTGTTGGCGTGGTCTTGTCCTTCTCTTGTGGAGGTTTGGGGCCATCATCTTCCCCCATACTGTCGCCTTGTATCGTGCTGCACTGGCGGAGCCGCTTTGGCTTACTTTTAGTATTGATGTTACTGCTACGCCTTTTCCAGTTTCCTTATGTGTTTCTTCAGGTGGGGATTCTATGACGGCACGGCGTACTGTAAGACTGGTCTCACGTAAGTAGTGTAAAGTGCCCTAAAAGCCTCCTCACGTAGGTTTCTGAACGAAGTTTTAACTTTTGCCAGTGTAGAGTACGCTGCCTTACTTACCTTAGGGGGTTTTCCCCAGAAAATAATTGTAGGTCTATATAGCGTACTCATTGTAACATAAATCTATATATGCACATACATTGTGCACATGTTCTTAGTACACTTAAATAATGGGTCTTGCAACTGAATCCGTTGCTGCTATTCTGCTTAGTAATGTTCAGCAATAGGTTCAAACACTTGTGGAAACACCAAATTGTGGTTTGACAACCGCATCGCATAGTAAGGAATGATAAAAGATAGCAGACATTTGTCCATGGGTCAAGATTAAGTCAATTATATCCATATGCTGCACATGTATAATAAGCATATTTACATCATGAATATAAAATTTGGGTGATAATAACTCAAATTAAAATGCATTATAACCTGAGGATTATTATATGATAACTGCTCTTTAAGGGCTAAAAACTTTTACTGGCAACTTCATCTGTTCCCGAGTTATTTATTTATTTTTCTACAAAGCCATGTGTACTGGCCTCAGCAGGTACAGTCTGCAGATATGGGCCACAGATCAAAGCTATTTTGAAATTTAGTGGGAAAGAATTTTTGAAAGAAAGGTCCACAGTGCAATTCTCACACTGACACAATGCATTTTAGGTTAAATGCACTAAATAGTTGTTGGCAGTTTAGATACGACTTATTGCAAAACCCCCAAACTTATAATTTTCTTGCTGCTGTTATCTTTGTAATTTAGAGATAATTTTCTGGCTGCTGTTAGCTTTGTAATTTAGAAATAACTTGAAAATAACAACTTTGCTTACTTCACAATTATACATGATTGACTTTTATTTTGAAGTTTTTAACAGCAACAAATACATGACTACCATCAGTGATTTTAATATGTAACTTGTCAACTTTTGAAGGATAGCAACATGTTTCGTATGTCGGATGACTCCTTGGTGACAATGGGAGGAAAGGAGGAGCGAGGTAACTTAAAACAGTCCCAGAGACGTTCTGCTGCTCATCCCCACGCCACCAACATTCACGAGGACGAAGATGCTTTACTTGTTAAAATCAAACGCTTTGATAAAGATGGTAAGGCAATCCAGATTCACCATAACATGTACTGCTATCCATAATGGTTGCACATCTTGTTATTTCCAAATTGTCTCTTTTTGATTAAATGTACTCCTGCATGCTACCATAATTGTTCCTGTGTTACTGTGCATTCCTTTATGCAACCATTCCTGTTTTTTGAAACTGTGCACTCACTCATGCTACCATTTATGTTCCTGTGTAACTGTGCATTCATTCATGCAACCATTCCTGTTTTTTGAAACTGTGCACTCACTCATGCTACCATTTATGTTCCAGTGGAACTGTGCATTCACTCGTATTACCACTCCTGTTCCTGTGAAACTATGCACTCCTTCATGCTGCCATTCCTGTTCCTGTCTAAATGTGCACTCAATCATGAACTAATCAGAGACATTAAAATCTCAAATACTACATACTCGGGCCATAAGCTCATTTGATGTGCAAACTAGCATAAATAACGGTAGTAGGTCCAAGAGACCCAACAAGCGAGAAGGGGTATTTTATCAATTCAGTTTCAACAATAAGAGGATCTACTGGGAAAAAATAAATGTAGACCTTGCAAACATTCAATGGGAGACGGTCTTAAGCGGCAAAACTTCCACACAGGGAATAGCTCAACCGACAGCTGAAGCATACGAGGTCTGCTTGAAGCATGTGCCTATGAGGAGGGGTCAGAAAGAGGATCAGTCTAGAAAGGGAATGCAGACGACTGTACAGTAGAAGGAAAAATAACGGAAATGCCTAGGCAGACACGACTATCACGAGAAAGGAAAATGAATCTAAACAGGGAGATCGAAGAACTAGAGCAAACGTTGAAGCGATCATACGAGTCATAGTAAATGGAACAGAAAGCTATACAAGAGATGAAGAAAAATCCAAAATATTTTTTCACATATGCAAAATCAAAATAAAATACCTCCACCAGTATTGGACCTTTAATTACAACCGAAGGTACGTACACAGAGGACAACAAGGAAATTAGTAAAAGTCTAAGAAGCCAGTATGAGACTATGTTTAGCACACCAATAAACAACATGAAAGTTGATAATCCAGAGAGTTTCTTTATGAATGATATCCAAGCTGAAGATAATACAGGGGTACCTCGGTTTAAGAGTTTAATCCATTTCTGGAGACAGCTCGTGTTCCGAAGCTAATTTTCCCATAAGAAATAATGGGAAATGAATTAATCCGTTCCTGACTACCCCAAAAAACCCACATCAAACTAAATTTTTATACCTAATTCATCTAAATAAACCTACAAAACTATATTCAAGTTATTACTTACCTTGCTGTTTAATGCTGTAGGCTTATGGAAGATGGTGAGGAGGGGGAGGAGAGGAGGAGTTACTGTTTGGAAGGGGAGTCCCCTTCCATCATCACATCAGGCAGTGAGGACCATTCTGGTGTGAGCTCCCTGGCATGTTTTATCTGAGTGCCACTAGGTCCTGGTTGTGGCTCACTGCTCGATTTTCTCACCACAAATCTGTCCATGGAAGCTTGCTTTTACCTTCTTCACAAGCTGTCTCTGTAGTAAGGCATCACATTGTCATTGAAAAGATTAAGGCAACGGCCTACTTCAGCTTTCTCTGGGTGAGTCTTTTCAATAATTGTTTGAATCTCTTCCCACATCTGACACACCTTCCTAATTTCTGCAGAAGGGACATTCGCTACTGCCTCATTCTCCTCCACTGTAGAATCATCAGCTGCGTTGTCTTGCTGTTTTTGTTGAAGGGCTTGGAGTTCTTCAGTGGTCAGTTCTTCGTTGTGTTCTTCCACCAACTCCTCCACATCATCATCCAATTCCAAGCTCATTTGCTGGCCCAGAGTAAAAATTTAGTCAACAATAGGTGCATCATTTACAGGTTCAAACCCCTCAAAGTCCCCCACATTCAGGCCACAATTTTCTTCAGCCAGAGATCAGGGTTCTTTGAGTCACTTCTTGCCAGGCTTTGTCAACGAGTTTTAAAGCACTACAAATGTTAAAATGGTGTTTCCAGAACTCTTTGAGGGTGAGGTTTGTGGCTTCAGTCACTTCAAAAACATTTCCGGAAATGTGCCCTTTCATAGTTTCTTAAAATTCACTGTGATTTTCTGGTCCATAGGCTGAAATAGAGGAGTGGTGTTAGGAGGAAGGAATTTAACTGAGGAATTTATTGTATCTGGGCAACAAATCATCTTCCAAGCCTGGAGGATGAGCAGGAGTATTGTTGAGGAGAAGCACGGCTTTGAGTGGCACCTGTTTCTCCTGCAGATATTTTTCTATGGCAGGGCACACCACTTCATTCACCCACTCCAAAAAAATAAGCCTAGTCACCCATGCTTTTTTATTAGCCTTCCACATCACACACAAATGGGTTTTCTGCACTTTATACTGTTTGAAAACCCTTGGATTTTCAGAATGATACGCTAGCAAGGGTTTAATTTTCAAATCGCCATTCGCATTTGAACACAGCACAAGCGTAAACCTATCTTTCATAAGCTTGTGTCCGGGCAAGGATTTTTCCTCCTTGGTAATGTATGTCCTCTTAGGCATTCTTTTCCAAAACAGTCCTGTTTCGTCACAATTAAACACTTGTTGCGGTAGGTATCCCTCAGCCTCTGCAAACTCTTTAAATTCCTCAATAAATCGTCCAGCGGCTGGTTTGTCTGAGCTGGCTGCTTCCCCATGCCTTGTTACACTGTGGATGCCACTTCTTTCTGGGGGGAGCCCCGTCGGCTCCCCGGAGCTATCCCAGGCTGATATGCTAATGTCAGACTTTGGCATCAGTCATGTGTATGGAGCTCTTAGGCCTACTGGGGACCACGGCCAGAACCGGGCCCCCTCAGAGAGGCAAGGGGAGCAATGGCCTATAGAAGCCCCCGTGTAGTTCGAAGCATTCTATGTCTGCCATCGACCGGAACAGGCACCCAGAAAGGTAAGCGCCTCAAAACAAACCCCTATTCTGGTTAAAATTGCTACCAAAAACAAACTAGTGGATAGAACTCCCCAACCGAAAACAAGCAAACTAGTGTGATGTCACACACCGCCGCGCCGCTGTCTGCGCAGCTCCCCCCTCCCCGGGAGGGGGAAGGGGGAGCCCCAGACCCCCCGCGCCGTTACCCACACCTCAGTTCTTGAGGCCGATGCTATAGCAGACTACCCCTTGTTTGGTCTGGATTCCTGGCATTCCTTCTGTCGTTCCCGCACGCTGGAGTGGCGGGAAGCTTACACGGCGCTTCAGGTTTTCCTTGGGGGCGAACTTGAGTACCTGAATGAGTGCTTGTTTGCCCCTGCCCTTCCCCGCGATGTGGGCGTTATTCAGCTCCATGTGCAGGTTCCCTCCCTTTCGGCGGCGCTCGTTGCGGAGGACTTGCGCGCCCGGGGCCTTTTGAGTTCGGCCTTGCGGTTCTTTTCCCTCCTGGAGCTGTCTTCGGATTGGCTCATGGAGGATGTGGGGACGCTTGGGTCCGTCCCGGGGTCCGGCACCTTGTCCTCGGCTGCGCGTTCGTTGGCTGCCTTGTTGAAGCTGTTCACGCCGATTTTGCGGGATGCGGTTTCCCTGTTTTATGCTTCCCGTCTCGCGTGTCGGCAGGCGGTGCTGGGTTCCTCCATGGGATCTGCTTGGGCTCTGGCTCTTAGGCGTTCTTCACCTTTTTGTCCTCTCCTGTTTGAGGAGTTGGCCGTGGCGCAGTTTATTCAGGCTGCGTCGGCGGCTTGTCGTCCGATGTCGGACTTGTTGGTTTTCCGGGGGTCCCGGGGTGGGTCTTCCCGGAAAGGTCGTGCCAGGGCTCGGGGTTCCTCTCGTCATGGTAGGCCTCTGGTGTCAGGTTTGGGGTTGGCTCCTCCTGCGGACCCTCCCTCGTCTGGTCGGCGCGGTGTTCGCGCTGTGCGGGGTTCTGGGTCTCGTAAGGGTCGCCGGCCCTTAAGCGGTTTGCCCCCTTGACGGGGCGATGGGGGGGCGGCTTGCACTGTTCGCCCGCGCCTGGTCCCACGATTCGTGGGCCTTTCGGGTCGTGTCTCGCGGCCTGCGGTGGTGTTTGGTGGCCCCTCCCTTTGGGGGGTCGGAGCTGGCAGGGCAGGTTTCTTCCCCTGCGCTCTGTCGAGTAGTCTTGGAGTGGGTACGCTTGGGCATCGTCGAAACGACGTCGTCCCTCAGATGGGTTTCCCGTCTGTTTCCGGTTCCGAAACGGGACTGCGCAGACTTGCGGTTCATTCTGGACTTGTCCCGTCTGAACCCCTGGGTTCATTGCCCCTCCTTTCGGATGACTACGCTGTCTCAGGTTCGGCTCCTCTTAGAGCCGGGAGCTTGGATGGTGTCCCTGGACCTCCGGGACGCTTATTGGCATGTCCCGATTCAACCGCGGTTCAGGGACTGGCTCGGTTTTGTTGTGGGGCGTCTGAGTTACCACTTTCGTTGTCTCCCGTTCGGGTTGAACTTGGCATCTCACTTGTTCACGCGCCTTACATTGGTTGTGGTGGCTCGTTTGCGTCTCCTAGGTGTTCGGGTGTTGGCCTACCTCGACGACTGGCTGGTTTGGGCTCCCAGCCAGTCAGCTTGCTTGCTAGCCAGGGATTTGGTTCTTTCCCAGCTCGCCGAGTTCGGGTTCTTGGTGAACTGGAGGAAGTCCCATCTGGTTCCCTCTCAGGTTCGGACTTGGCTGGGTCTCGTTTGGGACTCTCGAACCGCCTCCTTGTCTCTCCCTCCGGAGTCTCTCCTGCGGCTGCGGTCCCGCCTTCGTCTGTTTCTGGAGGGCCCTCGGGTCACCCGGCGGTTGCTCGAGGGGCTGTGCGGGAGCCTGAACTTCGCAATGGTGGTCTACCCGCCGGGTCGGGTTTGGCTTCGACGGCTGTTCTGGTTCCTTCGGGGTTCCCCCTTCCGCCTCTCTCGCGATCGCAGAGTTCGACCCCCGGGGCCCTTGCGTCGGTTGCTGCGTCACCGGCTTCCTCTTCGGGTTTTTCGGGGTTCAGTGCCTTGGCGCCTACCCGAGCCCTCGCTCGATGTGTACACGGATGCGTC